AGCTTGAGCACCATAAAATGAGACGCACTTGCGACATGAGATTCATCTGTACATGTGTATATGGTAGGTTAGAACATACCATGCCAAAATAAGGAACCAGAAGCCATGATCATCATAATACAACTAAACACTTTTGCATATTTGGCCACAATATGGAATTCTGGGTGCAGGGGTCCCAAATACAGCCAGGTAACTTAGATGGGTTAAGAAAATAAATGGAAGAGACCTAAAGAAACTTTATTTCCAGGCTGAAAGACTAGAATTCTCACCGAGATGTTTTCCCCAGGCAGAAATCCAAAGTATAACTCTGCGTCACAAATGTTAACACAGGACTTGTTTTCTTCTGTGCCAGAACAATTTTATGAAGTTGAATATAATAACTCAGAATTTGCCATATATGGCAGAGATATATGAAGCTTCTCTAGTTCCAGCTGTTATTCAGGACTTTGCTCAAAACAGTTTCTGTTCTAGAAGGCAACACAGCTACAACTAGAGTCCATTTTCAGTGAGGCGGGAAGCGACAGGAACATGATTCTGGGATTTAATTACACTGAGACTAACTGATTAAACGAGACAGAAGGGCAGATGGAACAACAGACATACAGGGGCACATACTACCTCTTTTCAAGAGTTTAGCAACTTCTGGGGCACAGCATTTAACCTGGATTTCTTAATTCTCCCGAATGAATATGGAAATGGGAGTTTTCTTTATTATGCTTATTTGTCATCTACACTCTAGCAGGTGGTCTGGACTCAAAAGCAGGCAGGGGCAGCCACACCTTTACCCTGCTTGTGAACACCTTTATGCAAAGACAGCTGCTGAGGGCGGCTTCTGGAGAGACTTGCAGACAGCAGGTTTCTGGATGTCCTGTTTCTGCATTCTGATAAACACAGAGACCTTGCCATCTCAATCCTCACAGCAAACAAGATGAATGGCAAGGGGAGATGTCTGCCAGGAAAGATGGTCATTAATGGAGACCACAAAAGAACAGAAAGCTTAATCTGATGCTGACCAACCTCCAAAGCCATTTTCCCCAGAGATAAACTTCCAACAGTTTTATTCTATAGCAAGTTCCTAGAAGGGTCCAAATATGGCTATACTTCAGTTTTAAAGGTTTGTAAATTGGCAGGACAATAAAAGTCAGACATTAAATAGGCTTATTTCTATTCTTTAATCTTAGATGTGTCTGTGACTTAGCCAAGTCACACTAGCCTGGTTTTTAAATACCACAATGGAGTAAATATGGTATTGGAAGGAATAAACAAGATTTAAAAGATACATATACAGACAGTCCCTGGGTTACAAATGTCAGGCTCATGTCAGACTTAACATCAAACTTATATACAACCAGTATTACAAACCAACCCCTGTAAAGCCAAATTATATAAAATACTCAAGGTATATACAATGATTCGTAGTAACAAATAGGCACAAGTTTGTGATGTGCATAAAAATATTATCATACATTTTTATTATAATATCACATATTATCATGTTGAAGATGTTTTAGTGTTTATGGAAGTGCTTCGTTACTGGTTTTTTTATACATAGAAATGTACACTACAAACCATAACAATTCTGGTTTATGAACAAATTGAACTAAAAGAAAGTTTAACGATCAGAGCTCGATGGTAATCTGAGGACTGCCTGCATATTGTACCTGAGTATATTTATGCATATTATATATTTTTTATAAGCTAGAGAGTTGCACACATATGAAAATATTAATACAAATTATATCTTTTATTCAACAGGTAATGGAAGAGAACAAAACAAGATCAGATCAGGGTAGTAGGGGACTCTATATATGAGAGGGCTTAAAAAAGTTTATGGAAAAACAGAACAAAAAGATAATGTAATTTCCCCACGGACTTTCTGATGCCCCCTCATACCAGAGAGGAGCAGGAAAATCTATGAATTAGCAAATGGGAGGAGGGTGGAGAGTTTGAAGGGGGGCAGCACATGACATGCCATGTAGGTGAGAAAGCACAACAGAACGGTGTCTTTTCCTGGTAGGTACCCTGATAGGAGGAATCCAAGCCACATCAAAGTTAGCTGGTTCTCTGTACCTGAAAACACTATGATTTACGACTGTAGAGCCTCTACCTTTCCTTCCTTCAAGTTACCAGGTTAAGGAAAAGGGTTGCTGTTGTTAATGTTCATCAAGTCAACCTCCAACTCCTGGTAAACCCATGCACAATGGAACGAACTGCTGTATGGCTATGATCCTTTGGGGTTTCACTGGCTGATCTGGGGGAGTAGATTCATTCTAATCCATCCAGTCTGAGAGGTCCACTGTAATCTGTTCAGCATCACTCAAGGCTCCACGGACAGTGTGGAAGTTGCACAGGATGTGAACTGACTGGGAACTCAACCTGGGTCATCCACGAGGAAAGCAAGAATGCTACCACTGACAAAATTAAAATGGGCTAGTGTGTCTCTAATTTCTTACTGCCACCCTCCTCAGAGCACCAGGAGATGAGGAGTAGAGGGATAATCACAAGGAGCACTCAGTTTGCAGTGGGGAGGGGGACAGGGAAAGAATGAAAAAATAGGACATCACTCTCAACCAGCCAGCAGCATCCTTCACTGGAAGACCTGGACTAATGTTAAGTGACTAATCTAGAGCTACTATTAAAACAAGATTAATCTGCATCAGCCCTAAAAGAAACACCCAGGGGATGGGCTTTCAGAAGAGCATTAGAGGTACCAGTCCATCCTTAATTACCAGGGAACAATGTAAGACCCCCTAGGAGGAAAACAGAAAAGGCAGTTCATGAAAGGTGAAGAAGAGAATGTAAACTCAGGTAGTGCAGAAGCCCCTGAGGGGAGGGGGGCCAAAAAGCACAGGTGGGCTGTGGGGAGAACAAGGAGGAGGCAGCCTGACACAGGAAAATCGAGGGGGAGACAGGGGAAGAGGAGGAGGTGGGAGCAGAAGAAAGGGAACGAAAGACGAGAACAGAACATTTTAAACTAACCCAGAACTCCACTGTGAAGGACAAGTCACGAGGCAAGGTACAGCTCAAAGGCACAAGCTGCACATTTTACCACTGCAAAGAGATCGCACAGCCTTCCACATATGCATGGCAGGGGGCTAGGCAGTTGGCAACACCTCCTCCCTCCCAGGGTACCACTGGATTACTGAGAACCTCACCCAGGCCTTTTAGCAGCCTCAGCCTGAATGCTTATAAGGCTTCCCTGAGCAGACCTCAGTGCTGGAAAAATAATCCCTAAAACAGAAAAGAGTCCTTGTGTGGTGCTGTAGGATAAGCATTAGACTGCTAACCTCAAGGTCAACTGCTCAAACCCCCCAGTTGCTCTGCTCAATAGCACTTAACAACAAGAGATACTTTGCTACAGGTGTCTGCCTGGCTAAGGGACTAGAGACTCCATGTTCCCCTCACTGCCAGTTGATGCATCCACCTTTCCTGAGAGTGGTCAGAGGGAGAATGATGCAGGCTGAGGGTCTAAAGAGTAACTGGGCTTGGTAGCCACAATCAGCAAATCACCCCCCTCACACCAAGCTGCTTTAGAGAAGCTCCACATTTCCTTCAGACAAATAAACCTCCCAGCTAGTCTTCCTCTTGTATCCAACTCTGCAATTGCTAGTGTGTTTATCACTGCATCCGAATGGCAAATTGGTACAACCGCTGTTCCCACCTCCTTAATCCTCTCTGTTAAAAAGAGATTTCTCAAAGAGACATAAAACATGATTGCAAGATGGTTCCTCAACTTTCCATTCATTTCAAAGGAGAGGACAATAGTTGAGAAGAGGCAAGAACCCGTAAGACCCCAGATCAGACTGGGGTTGAAGGGAATCGAGTGATAGACTGTACTATTCTCATACTGCCAGCAAAAACAGGAGGGAGAAAACCCCACTTAACCACTGTTCTCTTTGTCTTGTTTTGCATGTTTGAGTATAGCAAAACATCAGAATCAAAACAAGAGTAAAATGTCCAATTTGAAACAAGCCAGGAAAGGTCAGGAGCAGGACAATAGAGAATGCAGAATTCAGCAGTGGGGGGAGTGGGGAATGAATTCTGAGGCCTGGAGCTGACTGTTGCTTTAGCTAACCTCTCCATCATCCCCTCCAACCACTCCAAAGAAGCAAGGATCTCTCACACCACATTAATGTGACAGGACACTTTCAAAGGCTCCTTATGGAGGGAGGGAGGTAGACTGAGAAAGTTTAGGCAATGGAGCTGCTGTTGTTCACAAATCGATTCCAACCACAGCAATCATAGAGGACAGAGTAGAACAGTCCCATAGTGTCTCCTAGGGCTGTAATATTTATGGAAGCAGATCACTAGGTCTTTTCTCCCATCCAGTGGCTGGTGGGTTAGCAGCCCAGCACTTAACCATTGCACCACCAGGGTTCCTAAGTTCCTCTTGAAAAGTGAGTTGTTGTTGTTAGGTGCCACTGAGTTGGTTCCAACTCTGTGACACTGTACAGAGTTTCGGAGGAGCTGGTGGTTAAGTTTGAACTATCAATCTTGTAGTTCAAGCCAACACTGGTCCAGAATTCCAGATAAGGGAGGAAGGCTCAAAACCAAAGAAAAAAAAAAAAAGTCCAATCAAAGGTACCAAAATAGAGAATCCTCCTTCAAGGAAAACCCAACCATTTTCTTTATTTTTCATCTCCATACTTACTCTGCTACAAGACCCAACACCAACCACCTGCAGGCTACCTGATGCTTTGAAACTTGCCCATGAAAAGCATTCCCATAGTTGTTTATGATGCTTAATGAGAAGCAGCTATACTCTCTCACTCTGGCCTGGGGCCCACTGGGCTGTCTCTGCCCACAGGATCCCGTAAACCAGAGGCGGGAGTGCCTTGGGCATTTTCACCCTCTGTCCCTCACCCATCTCCTATTACTCATAAATAATAACTCAGGACTTTGAAGCAAAAAGGCCAACCATTCCGGCTCACACAGTAGCCAACTTAGAGCACTCACAGTTTGGGAGGAAAGGGAAGAAAGCAAGCAGGGGTTATACTTACTCAAAGTCCTCAAACTCCAAGTCAGTTCCCTCTACTGATGGACCCTGGTTGTCTGAGGAAGAGGAGGACGTGGAAGAACGGAGCCGGTTCTGTTGGTAGCGCATGGAGCGCTGGCGAATACTGTCTCTCCGAGAGAGATACTGGATCATCCTCTGGGCGTAGTATGCAGCAGGAGATAATCTGAGAGAGACAGAGATGGACAAACACAAACTAGCACTAAACAAGGAATAATGTGAAAGTCAGTATACCCAGCTCTCCCTGACATCTCCCTGCTGAGGGCATTGAACTCACCAGGAGGCTTGTACCACAGGGCATACTTATCATAAGATCACCAGTGTTGCTGTTCTGAGATAAGGCAAATAGGCTGATTAACCAGCCATCATCTGATCAAGAGCTACCCCCTCCCAAGAAGATAATACTGGACCTTTCTTTTTAGCTTCTTAAGGAACCCCATTAGCCTCTCAGAATGCTTTTTATACAGATTCACAGCTATTGCTCAATTACGATCCATCCTCAGAATGTAAAGCATGAAAGAGTCCTCAACAATCACCTACTCTTCCATTTTATAGATGAGAAAACAGAGCAGAGATGGTAAACTTCAGATTAGCCAAGGCATCATCTTCACCTGGACTTCTTTCAGCTCCAACAAATATACAGAGCTCCAGATCTGCCCTGTCTTCTTAAAATCTCTCTCTGAACCTCCTACCGCTCCTTTACTGATAATAATATTTGTAGCATGGAGAAAGTATTCAGATTGAGAGTCAGGATATATTTGGGAGAACACAAGTTCTAACAGAGGAAAAGACTTTTTCTACATCTTACAATCAGCATACCAGAGGCTCAATAGGTACTGAGCAACATCAAAGATAAGAGTCATTGATTTTTCTTCTCTCTTCCCATGGCTATTCTTAGTTAAGAATTAGTCAGTCTGGACCTATACCTTCATGTCCTATACAATTTCCCACATCCCTTTCTTTCCCAAGACTGTCCTCCATCTTTTACAACACTGCTATAGGATTTGAGGCTTTAAACTGAGAAGATAAGAAACAGTAACAGAAGAATGTCTTCTATATCAAATAGAGTATTAAGAAATTTCTAGACTTCAAACCTGCCTGAGGCACACACTGCACTCAATGACTCCACTAGGAATTTTATCCTACAGAAAACACATAAAGATACAAAGATAAATGTAGAAGGGAGTTCATTTGCAACGTAGTTAACAATAGAGAAAAACTGGGAAACAACCCAAGTACCCAACAACAGATTAAATAAACTATATCCATACAAAGAACACTACATAGCTATTAAAAACAATGAAGTATCTCTGTAGTTTCAAAAGAAAACCTCTACAAAATAAAATTTAAGTGGCGGAGAGAGGGGGGAATTGAAGAATTGTAAATATATACTATTATTGTTGTGAAGTGCAGTTGAGTCAGTTCTGACTTATAGCGACCCTGTATAGGGTTTCTGAGGCTTTGAATACTCAAGGGAGCCGAAAACCTCATCTTTTTCCTTTGGAGCAGCTAGCAGGATCAAGCCATGGACTTTGTGGTTTACAAATCCAATACTTAAAGAGTATGGAGCCACCACACTCCCATATACTAAAATGTTGTTAGTAAGTACCGTTTAGTCGTTTCCAAACTCATAGCGACCCTATGTACAGTTTCCGAGGAGTGGCTTGGTGAGCTTGAATTGCTGTCCTTGAGGTTCAAATCAACCTTTCAGGCCAGCACACTGATCCACAGCGCCACACCAGGACTCCATATACTAATATATGTATGTAAAAATATACATTTCTATAATTAGCGATAAAACAGACACCACAACCAGAATGAGAATTATTGGGGACCTTTATACTTTATACACTTCTATAATGTTTACGTACAAAAGGGAAAAAGCAAATCTCTTTTAAAATCTGACTGAGATGGAAACCGTTCTGTCTGAAAGGTATGAAAGTATTTACAAACATTCTGCATCTTGACTTTTTCATATCCCTGGACAAATCCTTACTAATTTAAGTCCACTGACCCAGGCCAAAGAAGAAACTGCAGTAAGCTGTGACAGGAACTGAAGTTAGATCAGAAATGCCTGTCATGTGACCAAACATCAAATAAATGGACTCCCAAGCAGTCTGGGTTACACAGGTGGGAGTGGGTAACACAGATGACTTGGTCAAGAGAATCAGGGTTTAAGAATTATTTCTTAAAAGACTCAATTGGTGGAACTTTCATTATCATGTTGGGACTCTGTTCCTATCCCTTTTTATTTATTTTCTTTCCCTTTGGGCCAAGGATGAATCACAAAATCCTAAATTTTCAACAAAGAAAAGTCAGTATTCCTAAGTTTTTCTTGTATCTATCAAGTACATAGAAATTTTCTATCAGAAATCAACTAATGACTGATTAAATTCTCACATCTATCAGACTAGAAAAGAATGTAGCAGGAGAAAAGCTGCACTAAAAGAATTCACATAATTTTGGGGGGAAATGTTCACGGAAAGTGACCATTAGTATACTCACATTCCTTGGTTAACAGCCTACACAAATGGTAAAAAAAAGTTGGTTCTACGGTTAGTCCTGGTGTGGTGCTGTGGGATAAAGCACTGAACCACAAGGTTGCTGTGAACCATAAGGCTGGCAATACAACTTCACCAGCCACTCCTTGGAAACCCTACACAGGGTCATTATGAGTTGGAACAGATTCAACAGCACTTAACAACAACAACAATAGTTAGCAATAATAATGCTACTGCTGCTGTGGATAATCAAGATCACCTTATTTTTTTAGGGACACAATTTCAGTCCTGTTTTTGTTAAGTGCTGTTGAGTCAATTCTGACTCATAGCAATCCTATATAGGATTTCCAGGAGTGCTGCTGGGTTTGAACCACCAACCTTACGGTTAGCTGTCCAGCACTTATCCTACAGCACCAAACCAGTCCTAAATAACCCCAAAAGTATAATTTCACTATGGGAAAGGGACTCCCTAGGCTGTGAAATCATACATCAATGGTTTTTTAAAAATCTAAACAAAAATGCTACTGACACATTACTAAATACAAATACATTCTAGCTTCATCCTTTTCAGTATCCAGATCTGAATGCTGAAGAGAAATCTCACAGACTTTGACCTACACATATAGTCAAGTGTAAGTATGGTTGCATCTAGGAGGAAAAATAAACAACCAGTAATAGGGTTAACATTCATCCACTTACTAAAGTAAAGAGCTTGGAAAACCCATCAGACAACACTACTAATCTGTCCCAGGTGAGCATCTTAAATGTTTAATTCCTCAAGTTCTCATCAAAAACTAACACTTTCCCCTTCAAAAAAAAAAAACCTATTTTGTGCTCAAAAGGAAAATGAAAAAATACCAATACCACAAAGTTTGACACTTTCTGTGATAAAGAGAACATAATAGGAATAAATACCAGCCTTATTACATGAAAAGAGAATAGATAAAGATCTTTAGTCTCTAAGAATTCCTGTTCAACTTTGCCAAGGTCAAAAATACTAAAAAACAAAACAAAACAAAACCAACTGTTGTATAGCAAGAAGTTCTCTACCTCAGTGTTTCAAGGGACTTCACTCATGCAAACAAATGTCCTTCCCTCATCTAGGAGTAATATTCAGACCAAATTGGAAGCTAACATAAATCTTTGCTTTAGTCATCATCTAAATTGCCTGGTTTGAAGTTACCATTCCTATGTTCCCTGATCCTTGGATTTGCCATTTTTAGGATATGGAAAGGGTATCTTTTCACTGGTAATGCAGAAAGAATACTCAGTATCATGACACAAATACAGCAACAACAAAATCATTTCATATTCTTGATGGATTTGAAACCTTAGGCAAGCTCATTTACCTTCATCAGACCTATACTGCTAACTTAACAACCCTGCATTGGGCATGCCTTTCCTTTGATAACGCTTTACAATGTTGTAAGTAAATAAAGTCTTTGTAGGTGACTAGCAAATCAGTACATTCAACTCTGGCAATCCCAAGGAGCTGCTCTCTACAGGTAAACATTATACACCAACTCAAACACCCTATTCTTGAGTCTCAGGTACAAGCAATCTCTTTCTTCTAATTTCTTTCAAGAATTTCTCAGTTGTCTTCCAACTACAATAAAGCAAGCAAACCTTTAAAATCAATGCAACCTGCTTTATTTAGTTACTTGTTCTTCAGTCATTTCTTCCTTCAAGTGGTTTCCCCAAACTCAACATCTGGATGAGCTTGACTTCTGCCTTTTGAGTTTCTCAATTCTAAAATTTCTAATTTGGTTTTCCTTTCCTTTGTTTTGTAAGTCGATTTCTCTAGAAATATAAACCTTTGTTTCCATCTCAGGTCCCTCCTAGATCTAATGTCCCATTTGTAGAAAAAGAGCCAGCCCCAAAGGACAAGAGCTCAGTCACAGCCTTTTGTCACTTACCTGCAACAATTCCCAATCAACTGAACCACCTGTCTCAACACTGTAAGTAAAGAGCACCAGGCCCAGAGAGGCACAGAAGGGGGCTTCCAACAGCTTGGCAACACCAAGGGCCGCCCCTCCCCCCCCACCTAGTGCCACTTCTCACTTTGGCCTTACCTCGCTGGGTCTGGGTAAATTGGGTGCTCTCTTGATCCTGCTCCATCATAACGGGACAATGAAATGAGGGAAGACTCCAGCAGCCTCCTAGCAGAGATTAAAAAAATGGCAATAATCCCTGTCAATTACCAACTCAGAGGTCAATCATAAGGAAAAACAGGGGGAAAGATAAACAACTTCCCCCTTTGTAGCCAGCTAACACCTGTTATCTGGGATCACAAGCTTCCTTACAAGCGAAGTATTCAGTCATAAATAATGAGCTTAAAAGCTCCCATACAAGGATACACGGCCACTGTACCATGCTACATACTGCTCTTTGGTGAGAAAGGAAGAAGTGTTTCAGGCAGGCTCTCATTTCTATTCACAGCCTCCATCAGACAAAGAGGAGGCTGGGATGGACCCAGGAGGGGGGAAATGGGGCATCCAGACAGACTATCACAGAGTGCCAACATTTTTCTTGGTGCTCGGTTCCTCCATGTCACCATAACCCTTATCTACTCAGTTCACTCTGCCCACCCTTTTTGTGAGAAAAAGTACCCGTGACAGCTGACAAAAATCTTTTAGTATATAATTTTGACCCATAAGTTCATTAT